CAGGGTGGTGTCCGTCAGCTGGATGCGCAGGGGAAGCCGTGGGGCCCACACTGTCAGCCACAGGGAGGCCCGCAGCCGGCGCCACCAGAAGTCCACCCGCACCCCTCGAGCGCCCCGGCTCTCCTTGCCCGTCACAAACACGGCGTCACAGGCCGCGGATACCTGCGGGAGGGCAGGGCGTGGGCCATGCCCGGGAGAACCTGCGTGAGTCAGAGCGCCCTCTGACCGCCCCCGGGGAATGTCTGTCCTGAGAGCAGGACTTCACCAGGCAGCCAGGTCCGCCTCCCTGGAGGGACCACCTCTCCAAGCGCACGAGGGGCTCAGCTGGGGGGACTGGCTATTTGCCCACAACAGGACCTTTCTCCTGAAAGGGGGGGGGGTTGAACCCCAAAATTTGCCTCCTGGGTGCTGGCCTCTGACTTTGATGCCGGAGCCACCTGGCACCCTGCGACAGGGAGGTAGGAGCCACGCACACACGGACCAAGTGCCACCAACAGTGGCGGAAGGCACCTTTCTCCCCTCAGGGGCCAGGACTTAGGAAACACAGGCTCTGAACGTCCCCTCCTAGAATGTCAAGGTGGGCAGCGTTGCCCGGCCCCCACTTTATCTTATGGGGCATGACGAGGCTCCAACAAGAATCGGCACTATTTTTATCACATCATTGTTATGGCAACAGCACCTGCTGGCTGTGCCCCTGCGTTCTGCTGCGAATGAACTGGGCTGCTTCTAATTCTTGCAACATCTCTAAAGTGCATGCCCATTTTAAAGCTTGGGAAACTGAGGCTCAGAGAGGTTAAGAGATTTGCCCACAACCACATAGCTAGCTGATCACCAAGGGTTTCAAACAGAAATTTTCTGGTCCCCAAGTACATGCTGTTCTCTCCCACGGCAGTTCACTCGCCAACGCAGTGATCACCGTGAGAGGGCCTGAGCTGGGGGCGGGGGTCACTCAGCTCCCACTAGACTCTGGGAAGAGGTGGTGGGAACAAGGGAAGGTGAGCTGTGGCACCCCCAAGAGGTCCCTGGGGCCACGGAGCTGCCTCGTGGGGACCTGAATGGGGAAGGAGAAAAGCTGTGTGTGCCTCACTGCACACAACTGTGTGCTCATGCGGGACTGGACGTGCCACTGACCTGCAGGACCTGGGCATTGGCCGACTCACAGCCAATGTGCTCGGTCACCTCTACCAGAGCCCCCCCGCTGTCCACGGTGACCAGGCGCACAGGGACCCGCCGCGGCACTCCGGTCAGCGGTGCTGTGTTCACCAGCTCCTCGGCCTGGGGGTGCAGGAGGAGCTCAGCCCCAAGCTCTTCGCCTCACGCGGCCCCCCACCTGGCAGGGCAGAGGGGGCCGCCCTTACCTTGGCCAGTGGGACGAGGGCTCGTATGTCCCGCTCCGATACGGGGATCTCCCACACCATTTTGTCCTTCTCTGCTTCAGGAGCCTGGCCTGGGTACTCCAGCTGCCATGTGACAGGGCGAGTGACTGCCAGGCCCCCGCTAGTGCCATTGTCCACCAGAAAGTCCACCCACAGGAACTCGGACAGCTCGCGGGGGCTGCTGGCAGAGGAGAGAGAGACTGAGAGCTTGCCGGCAGCCAGCGCTCTGTGTTCCTGAGGGAGGGTCTGTGATCAGCCCCATTTCACAGATGAGGAAACCAAGGTTCAGAGGTCACATAACTCGCCCAAGGTCACACGGGGAAAGCGGCAGCGCTGGCATTAAGCCCAAGCTTCCTGGCCCCAGCGCCCAAGCTCTCCTCCAGTCTTGGCCCTGCAGCATCCATGAGGCCCCTCCCCCTCCCCCACCCACTGGCTCGCTCCCTCTCCTGCCTTCCTGGGCCTTCTCTGCTCTACCCTCCGCCTTCCACAGCCATCAGGGTGGCAGAAGGCACCTTCCAAGCCCCACAACTGGCACACGACCCCCGGCCTCACAGCGTCCTTCAACCAAGTGCCTGCTGGTCCAGGAACTCGCCTGGACATTGGCTACACAGTATCTTATTTCATTTCACAAAGCCTCAGGGATGCAGTATGTCCCCCTTTTACAAGTGGGGAAACTGAGGCTCTGGTGTGGGGGGGGAAGGGGGGGTGGCAGGGAGATGAACTGGTTTGCCCAAGTGAATGTCAAAACCAGGATCAAACAGGAGCTTCAAAGCCCGTGACTGTGACCCAGGCTGGGGGCATGAAGAGTGTAAATGGTAAGAGCTGCAGCTGGGCCCTGACTGGTGTGGCTCAGTGGATAGAGCGTCCGCCTGCGGACTGAAAGGTCCCAGGTTCGACTCCGGTCAAAGGCATGTACCTTGGTTGCGGGCACATCCCCAGTAGAGGGTGTGCAGGAGGCAGCTGATCGATGTTTCTCTCTCATGGATGTTTCTAACTCTCTATCCCTCTCCCTTCCTCTCTGTAAAAAATCAACAAAATATATTTTTTTTTAAAAAAGAAGTGCAGCTGGGCTTTGGAATAGTAACAACCACCAAAAGGGACCTATCTGGTGCTGGGGAGAGGTGGGGTGGCGGCTGTGAGGGCTGTGACAGGGGGCTGGGCATCACCTGGAATAAGACTCAGAGACACTCACTGTACCGGGCATGTGGCTGGGGATGGATAAATAGTAGCTGAATGGGTGGATGGATGGATGGAGGATGGATGAATGAATGAGTGAATGGATGAATAAATGGATGCTCTATCTGCATACACTGCTTCCTTCAAGAAGTCTGTTCCTTCACCTTCTCACATGGGGAGACGATGCAGAGCGCAGCCTCTGCCCTGGAGCCCGTCATCAGCCCGCAGCCCCCCCTCCTCTGCCCGCACCCCGGGAGCCAACTACCCACCTGGCGTCGGGTCCTGTGGGCCCAGCGCGGTGGCAGGTGATGAGGGTGGTGTGGTGCTTGGAGCCCTTGAAGCGGTCCAGCTTGGAAGTCCAGAGGGTGGGCTGGGCTGGGCGGGCGGCCATCACATGCAGTCCCTTCTTCACCTTGATGCTGGGGGGACACAGGCGCAGTTAGCCCGGTGGGTGCTAAGCTGTGGACGGGATCCGGAGGGAAGAGCAACGCCAGCCCTGCCTCTCCGCCTGGCTCAGGCTGGGCCTCCTGCCCGCCTGCCCCTCCTTTTGCCTCTGCTGGTTCTCCCAGCCTCCAGCAACTCAGATGCCAGTCCTAGGAAGCTCTGCCCAGCAGGATGAAGGTCCCTTCCTCACCGCCCGCCCCAGCCCGCGCCGCACTGTGCCCCTTCAGCAGAGCATGCGCTCTGGCTCATGCCCGTCCTGCCCCCTTCCCTAGCGCTGGGGGCCCCTGGTGCCGGCAGGGCCCTGGGCTGGCTCCTCTCTCCAGAGTGGAGAGACGGGGCTGGGAGTAGTTTAGTCCAAGAATGATCTATTGAGCACAGCAGGACGGGAGACGGGGCTGGGACAGGCACTGAGAGACACGGGGGAGGGGCACACACAGGTCCCAGATGGGAGAGGCCCGGACGCTCGGCAAGGCCTTGTCATGGGCTGGGGTGGGGCTGCTTTGGGGAGCTTCCTGCAGGAAGGAACAGAGAGGAGGTCCTTTCTGTGGAGGCTCGTGGGCTCGGTGCTAAGGGGAGGGACCCGTGGTGAGGGCGGCAAAGAGGGAGAACGTGCCAGTGCGTGAGGTGGGGGCAAATACCCCTCCTGAGGCTTCAGAGCATTCGCTACCCCCCGGCACTGCACCTGCCAGTTTCCAAGCCCTTTCCCAGTCCCCTCCCTGGAGCCTCCCGGCGGCCCTGTGAGTCAGCCCCGAGAGACCCAGGACCAGGAGAGGAGTGTCCTACTTCGGACTTCAGTTCAGGCTGTGCCCACGGCCGGGTCTGCCTGCTGCGGGCAATCGCGGAAGTCGGCCTGGAGGGGCGGGTGGACCCATGCTTTACAGTCAAAGATCCCAGTGAGGACCCCAAGGAGGGGCACCCGCCCAGACTTCCTGCAGAGGTCCCTGCCTCTGGCCACACCCTGGGGGCCGGCACTCACCGCAGGGTCAGGACACTGGCCGTGAAGTTGTGGCGAAGCAGGAGGGTGGCACTGAAGAGCTGGCCAGGCCGCACGGGCACGTCGGGCACCCGCAGAGTCACTGCCTCATCCAAGGGCACCTCCTGGTACTGGGGGGCGCCGGGCGC